CTGGCCATCATGGTGAAACCCTGTCTCTACCAAAAATAAATAAATAACACAAAAAAATTAGCCAGGCGTGGTGACACATGCCTGTAATCCCAGCTACTCGGGAGGCTGAGGCAGGAGAATTGCTTGAACCTGGGAGGCGGAGATTACAGTGAGTCAAGATTGCACCGCTGCACTACAGCCTGGGCAACAGGGCAAGACTCCATCTCAAAAGAGAAGAAAAAAAGAGAATCCTTAAGACACACCTTCTTGGATGCCCTCCTGTGAAATGTCTTGAGTAGCCAATATGGTTACCCCAATCAGCTGTGGTGTGTGGGCCTCTAATGTTTTAAGGCTCTAGGCAACTCAGCCCCTCCCGGGAGACACTGATTTTCTTTTCTCAAGATGCATAAAAGCTCATCAGACCAATATCTGAAAATCCCTTTCAAAGAGATTCAGGCAGCCTTCGGGCCCTGTGATGTTAATACACCGAGTTAGGCAGCCTGGCAAGTGCATTGGGGCCTCCACTGAAGGATCATCTGGTTTCCATAGCAACAGTCCTCCCTTTCCACGGAGGATTCTATCATCTCTCCTGCCCACTCAGGCTTTCCAGAATGAATTGATTTTGTGACTATAAGTGTTTGTCCTTGATCCTGCAAAGAGAAAAGACATGTTCATTTAAAACACCTCCACCCCATTCCACAACTGACTGCAGCTAGAATACTGCATTGCATCAGCTGGTCTTCCTTTTCATTTTAAAATTCCATATCCTTTCTCCATTTTGCTCTGTTCTCTAGCTTTATCCATCATTTTTGGAAACAGGTTTCTCTGACAGAAAACAGACAGATGGCAACTCCATCATCCTAAAACTGGCTGTGATGGGGCTGCAAAATTAAGTGTTCACAGAGCTCCCAGAGAGCCTGGCCTTGCATGGCACGTGTGACTGACCTGTGAGTTATGATTGGAGGGGCAACAGAAGGCTTTCTATCCACAGATGGCTCCCTGTACAGTGTCACAGTCTTTGAAGTGTGGCCTTTTGAGGTTTGTTTCCTTAGGTTAGGCATTGCCTACCTGTCAGTATTCTCCTAAATGGCCAACATTCTTGGGGAGAGTGATACATTAGGTTACTAATACCAAAAGAACTTGGGAAAGAGAGGATGGGGTGCAGCAGGAAGGGTATGAAAGGGGCTCTGAAAATCACCTTTGCCTGCTTCACAGTGACATCTGCAAGAGGGGAAGTGCAGGTTCTCATCTCTCTGTCTCTCTCCTTCTCTTGCTTTCTCTCTCTCACACACACACATATACACATTGCAGGCTGCCTTCTAACAATTATAATGCAGTGGTGAATTCACTGAACAGATCTGTTCCCTGAAACACTTGCATACAATCCCATTGGAAGACGTTTGAAACAGCCCTGCAGCGACTAAAAACTCTGTCCCTGGTGCCACTCGTTTAACCCTACAGTTTCCACAGAATAAAGGTAGTTTTCCTTTGGTTAATATGAAATCACAAAATAGATTGCTTTGTTAAATAAAGTGGATTATGGTGAATCTGCCCACTTCTGGGTTCCATATTGTCCTCACTCCACAAATCACAGAAGATAATTATTTTCCCCCAGTTTAATTCTGTTACCACAACCATTAAAAACAAATGTCTATATAACCAAAATGTTATTCAGCCCCATGCCAAAGGAGCACATGTTAAGTGATGATTAATGGGACATAATTTGAACATAATATTCTATCTGTGCACTGTTTTTAAGTCTTTGAATCAGGTCTCCACCTGCAGATGTTGGTTACCCATCAGGGAGCAACAGGTGATACTAAGGATCACTTTGCAAAAGCCAGGAATCAGTTCCCTGTAACTCATAGGAAACTTACTATATCCATCAGGGTTCTTCAGAGAAAGAGAATTAACAGAATGTGTATACATATAGAAAGAAATTTAGTTTAAGGAATTGACTCATGTAATTGTGGAGACTCGGGGGGCCTAAAATCTGATGAGAGAAGCTGGCATGCTGGAAGTCCAGGGAAGAGTTACAGTTCTAGTCTACAGGTAACCTGCTAGGGAATTCCTTCTTGTTCTGGATGAGTTTGGCCTTTTGTCTATTCAGGCTTTCAAGTGATTGGATAAGACCCACCTACATTATGAAGGGCAATCTTATTTACTCATTTACTCAAGTAAATCTTATTTACTACAGATTTAAATGTAAAACTCACCCAAAAACACCCTCACAGAAACATCCAGAATAATATTTGATCAAGTATCTGAACAACATGGCCCAGCCAAGTTGACACAAAATTAACCATCACACTGGATCACAGAGGGCTGTGTTCAGCAAGAACTGGCCTTGGTCAAACCCTGCTGCTGCCCCTATGCCCCATTCCCTAATCTCACCTCCTACCCCCCAACTCAAAGTCCTTCAGTCCTTAGAAAATGATGTTAGTCATTTACACTCTAGGATAGATTTAAATCATTGTTAGCCATCTTTCTAATTTTCTCACTGTAAAAGGAAAGCATGTTAAAAGGATTTCAGGGATCGATGAAGAACTGAGGGAGGTTTTTCTTAGGAAGAGAAAATGACTCCCAGAAATCAAAACAAAGGGGGACAATCAGATTTTGCAGATGACTGAAAGCAGGTAAACTCCAGGGATCTAGAAAACTAGCGAATGGTCTCTTCAGGGTGTCATCATTGCAGTAAATGAGCTCTGGCTATTTCTGTCTTTATTTATCAAGGTATTTAAGATTGCAATTACTTAGGAGAGAGAGCATCTGATTGATTGAACTTGGGTTCTTGCTTACTCCTGGGCCAGGGCGAGGCAGGGTACCTGGTCTGACAGTCCTTTCAAGGCTGCATGAACTGGAGGAAAAGGGCAGAGTGATATTGGGGCAGCAAAAACATTTGTTGCTTACTGACTATCACCGCAACAATTACTCAGAGCATGATGCAGAATCAGCACCCCTCTGTTTCTAAGATGACCTTGAATGTCAGAGCAAGGCACAAACAGGATGCAGAGACATGTGTAGTATCTGGAGCAGTGTCTTAGGATCTTTCCCCTCTTGCTGGATGCTAAGGACCTTAAGGACAAGAGCTATGTTTGCCTACAATTTCTTTGGCAGGCCCTGCAGTGCTGTGTAAATGATGCTATTTAATTTTTACTACTTGTGAGAAGGCACAGAGGGCTTCTTATCATGGGCAGATACATATGTAAGCTGGTACAGTGGAAGCTTTGCAGCAGGCATATCCTTCCAAGATGATAAATATTCCTCCTTGTTGGAGAAATGAAGACATTTGGACTTGCAATCTAACTTAACTAGTAAAACATGACAAACTAACCATGGAGAAACATGTTTGCATTACCTTCCAACCTTGAAAATAATGTCAGATCATTGGACTGAGAACCAATGTCATATTCTGGATCCGGTAATTATTTGGACAAAATCTCTTTGAATTCTATGTTCAAATTCAAAGTGTCAAAAAGAAAAAAAAATACAACCATTAAGCTTATTTAATTATACCTCTTATTATACAAATAAGGAAACTAGGCAGAGTGTGGTGGCTCACCTCTGTAATCCCAGAACTTTGGGAGGCCGAGGCAGTGGATCATCTGAGGTCAGGAGTTTGAGACCAACCTGGACAACAGGGCAAAACCCTGTCTCTACTAGAAATACTAAATTTAGCTGGGCGTGGTGGCAGGTGCCTGTACTACCAGCCACTTGGGAGGCTGAGGCAGGAGAATTGCTGGAACCCAGGAGGTGGAGGTTGCAGTGAACCGAGATCACACCACTGTACTCCAGCCTGGGTGACAGAGCACGACTCCTTCTCAAAAACAAACAAAAGCAAATAAGGAAACTGGGCTCAGAGAGATGAAGCTATACAGGTGAGGGCAGATAGGGACAAAGAAAATAACCCAACCCTTTGGATTTCCCAAGCCATTCTAACACTTGTTTTTACAGCTTCTGCAAGTTAGTAGATCAGAACTCACTAGTTTCCTACCTTTCCTGATCCACACAAGATTTAACTAACATCTGATTTGATCAATGAAACACCCTGGTCCTCAAGTTCAGTGTGAGACTTAATGAAATTGGCGTGAATTTTTCTTCTGTCCCTAGTTCATCTTCAGATCACTCTCTGATTTTAATAGTTCTCAAATTTAAATCACTACGCATGCTCAGCTTCTCATTTCCCTTCTTTCCTCATGTTGGGGGAAAAATCCGATTTATTCTATTTAACTGTGAGAAATGAAAGCTAACAAATCCTATAATTCTCTATTGTCTTGTGCAAATATGAAGCGAGAAATTTAAGTGGGGTCAATAAAGGCACTAGGGAATCCATTTGGCAGAATCTTTCTCCTCCCAGGGTGCTCGAAATCAGATACTCCGAGATTCCAGTGGAGAAATGGTATGGTGGCAACATCAAGGTTCAACAAAGCTGAATTTAGGGCATATTTTATTCAAATTCTACCATATATTTTTTCTAAAACGAAATAAAGCTGGGGAAAAAGTTGTGGAAGATACTCATTGCCTTTTATTTATAAAGGCAAATACTTAATAATAAAAATAAAATAATGTATAAAAACAATCACAATTCACTTTCAAATCTGAAAAATATATTGAGTTTTCCAGGTTACACATAAAACTGCCAACGATGAAAATCCCAGGTTGAAAACAAGTACGCCGACAAAGAAAAGTCTGAATTCATGGAGAATTTGAATCCAGAACCAACTCCACGGAGCTGATCGTTTCCGGGGGAAGCCAGGGACCGCACCGGGCGCTCTCACCGGCCAGACCACGTTTAAGTGAGTCTGGAAGCACAGAGCAAAATGGTCATTCGGGGGCGAACAGCACCTGGCAAAGGGATAAGTGAATGGAAACATCAAAGCCCTTGCGACAAATTCCGGCGCGAACGGCCAGGAGGGATGAGACTCAGGGGAGCGGCCTTCGACCGCGCGGCGGACGGATGTCCAAGCTGAAAACAAAGTCACCCGCCGAAAACTGTCCCTGCAGCCGACAGGAAGCAGGAAGCTCCAGCCAAAATGGCGCCGCCGCTCTGCCCGCCCCGCGCGCCCCCGGCGGCCACCCAGCCCGCGCGCGCCCTGTGGAGCGAGGACGCCGGGGACGCGGCCGGGGACGTGCGCGCCTGCGCGAGGGCGGGCGGCGGGGACGCGCGCGCGGCGGGGGCGGGTTCTGCTGAGTGCTGGGCTGCAGCCGCCGAGCCGGACGTGTTGGCGAAGATGGCGGGCCGGGTGAGTGCCGGTCAGGGAGCCCAGGCTCGAGGCAGGGGCGCCGGGCTCGCGGGCACTCCGGGGTCCGGGCAGCCCCAGGGGAGGGAGTGTGAATTCTAGCAATGGGGCGAGCGGCCAGGGCAGGGCTTGAGGGGAGCAGGGGAGCGGTAGAAGGGGATTAGCCCTCCTCAACAACTCCACCCCCCTCGAGGGGAGATGACCCCCTCATTACCCGCGTCTGCTGCGCCTCCCTTCATCCTCCCTTCCCATCCCTTGGAGCTTGTTTCCCTCGTCCTCCACACAGCCCCAGGGTCGCGGTCGCCGAAGCCTCTTCTGACGGGCTCTGGGGGTCTCTCCGCACCCCATTGCGAGGGCTTTTTAGGGGGCGCCGGAGTAACTGCGGGGAACACGTCTGCTGCATTCGGGACGAGGGGTGTGGGAAAGATAATCAGGAACTGGTGTTTGGCTCTTCACAAATAAAAGGTTGTTGGGAAAGAGGAAGGGGGTGCCAATGACTTTTAGTGTTAAAGCCCGGCCATTGGGGGACCTGTCAACTGTCGGGTCAGGCAGGAATTGGCTTTAGCTTGGCGCGAGGATGGATTTGGGGTGTCACGTTTTGTTTTTATGAATGACGGTCGCTTCGAATGCAGCAGGATATGCTGTAGTTTCAGGGTTTTACATTTACTTCCTCATTTAGCCTTTAGGATTCCTGGGTAGGATGGGTTTGGCTAGGAGGGATAGAGCTGGTGAGTGCTGTATTGCAGTTTGCCTTGAGCTAAAAAGCTGTCAAGGCATGAGTCCTGCCCAGAGATTACACTGGTCATAAAACTGAGGACATTAACTGCGTCACTGGGGGGCGAAAGATGTGCTTGACTGATCCGTTTATGCCAGAATATTTGAATAAGTTTGCGTAGATTTATGCGTATATGCAAATGCCCTATCTAAAGGAACTTGTAGGTCATGAGATCCTAGAGTCAGAAGGGACCTAAAAGAAAGGTCATTTAGCTTGGCTTCTTTTGCTTCCTTTCCCCTGTAGCCTCCTTTTAAGGCTAATCCTTCCAATACTTCAGACTCTAGCTGTATATTCACCTGCTCCTTCTTAACATAATCAAGCTTCTCTATCTTAAAACAAACCCTTCCCCCACCCCTACAGCTGTCACCTTTTCCCTTACCGCTTTACAGCAGGAAATTTGATAGAGTTGTCTGTTGTCTTCCATTTGCTTACCACCTACTCACCCCTCAACCTACTGCAGTCTGATTTCTGCCCCATCATCGCACTGAAGCCTATCCTTCAACTTGATAATTTTCAATCCTTGTCTTACTTGATGTCTCAGCAGCGTTTGACGTTGCTGACCATGGTCTCCTTGACAGAAAGCACTCTTCCCATGTCTTCTGGGATGCCTCACTCCTGGTTTGACTCTGACCTCTCTTTTGCAGACTCACCCTCCTCTACTTTGTTATCCATTGCTGGTATTTCCTCAAAGGCCATCTTCTCTCAATTTTCTGCTCAATTTCTTCTAAGCCCATAGCTACAATTGTCTATATGCTAGTGATTCTCAATATTTTACCCCCAGTCCAGATATGCCCTTTAAGTTCCAGGTTAATACGTCCAACTGCCTATTTAAAATCCAGCCCCCTGGACTGGGTGCAGTGGCTCACACCTGTAATCCCAGCACTTTAGAGGCCGAGGTGGGTGGATCACCTGAGGTCAGAAGTCCGAGACCAGTCTGGCCAACATGGTGAAACCCCATCTCTACTAAAAGTACAAAAAAATTAGCTGGGCGTGGTGGCATGTGCCTGTAATCCCAGCCACTAGGGAGGCTGAGGCAGGGGCATTGCTTGAACCAGGGCGGTGAAGGTTTCAGTGAGCCAAGATCGCGCCACTGCACTCCAGCCTGGGTGACAGAGCGAGACTCTGTCTCAAAATAATAATGATAATAATAAACAAAAATAAAATCAAAGCCCCTGAAACTCAGCTTGTCCAACCCTGAACTCAGGATCTTAGCCCACCTAAGTTGTGCAGATGCTCCTCGACTTAACGATGGAGCTACCTTCCAATAAACCCACTGTACGCTGAAAGTATCAGAAGGTGAAAATGCATTTACTACACCTGATTTACCTAATATCGTAGCTTAGCCTATCCTACTTTCTTTACACATGCCCAGAACACTTACATTAGCCTACACTTGGGCAAAATCATCTTACATAAACCTATATTATAAAATGTTGGATACCTCATGTCATTTATTGCTGTGCTGATAGTGAAAAGCAGAATGGTTGTGTAGGTCCTCAAAAACCCATCACCTTCGCCCTATTATAAAGTTGAAAAACCATGTTAAGTCAAACCATTGTAAGTCAGGGATCATCTGCATCTATCCAGTGAGATAGGAATAGCTCACTAAATGATACCATCATCCATCCAGTTATATAAGCTGGGAATCTGGGGGAGGGAGAGGGTGGGTCACCCTTTGTACTCTTCTTTTAGCATGTCCTCTGCCCTACCTTCAGGTAAAAGTTTTCAGAGTTCTGCTCCTACCCCCTATAAATGTATTTAATTAGGGCCAAAGACTCTGGCTTGGGGGAATCATTGCTTTAAACTAGATCCAAATCACCATTGGACTAGCTGGACTGGTCACATGGGTTCTGTCATTTTAACCTAAAAATCTCCAGTCTGTCCAGCTTTCTACATCTTCATTTTTACCTACTTTTCCCAAACTACCATCATCTCTGGTCTGGACTACTGCAGGAAGCTCCCAAGTAGTCTTCTTTATTTTTTGAGACGGAGTTTTGCTCGTCACCCAGGCTGGGGTGCAATGGTGCCATCTCAGCTCACTGCAACCTCCACCTCCTAGGTTCAAGCCATTCTTCTCTCTCAGCCTCCTGAGTAGCTGGAATTACAGGTGCCTACCACCATGCCCAGCTAATTTTTATATTTTTAGTAGAGTATTTTTCACCATGTAGGCTAGGCTGGTCCTGAACTCCTGACCTCAGATGATTCACCAGCCTCACCCTCCCAAAGTGCTGAGATTACAGATGTGAGCCATGGTGTCCGGCCTCCCAAGTAGTCTTCTTAGAGCATACCGCCCCACTCCAATTCATTCTCGACATTGATTGTTCCTTCCCTTGCCCATTTGTACTTAAACCCCTCCTCGACAGCATCCCCTTTCTTTTGGGGGAAGACCAAATCCTTAACGAGGCCTTCAAGGCTCTTTGTTGTTCTGCTCCTGCTTTTCTCCACTCTCTTACTCTCTCTACTCTTACATGGTAAATAAGCCTTTCAATTCCTTGAACCTCTTACCACAAGGTCTTTGCATGTGGCATTTCCTTACTTTGTAATCTTCTTTCCCCAACCATTTACCTCCTACTCAGACATCACTCAGCTTCTCAAGGGAGGCCTATTCTCACCCCACATTATAAGTCAGGATCCTTTGTTATATACGCTTGAAGAACTGTATTCCTCTCCTTAGAGATTTATCTTTTGGTTACTTTGAGTGTCTGTTATTATTTGCTTCTACCACTTCATCTCAGTGAAAAGCAGAGAACATACAAGTTATTTACTCATTATCAACTGCACTTTGTGTACCTTCTGGGACCTACGTACTGGATATATTTTTGTTGAAAATGAATCAATCTCTGAACACTCTGGTGATAGATGGTATATTAAGCTAAAGCTTGTCCATAATGTCATACAGCTGTGTTAGGTCTTTTTATCTGGAGTTCCATGTAACTTTTACACATAGTTACTATTTCTGCTGTTTAAAGCAATATGGAACTAAATACAATTCTTTTTCCATGTGATAGCTACTCAAGCTAATCATTTACTTGAAGACATGTTACATAGCTCCTCAGATTTTCTGATTTGCAAGTCAAACATCCCTCAATTCCTAGCATATTTCATATTCCAAACCCTTTCTTCTAAAATGTGCCGAGAGTGGAACACAGTGATCAGAGAAGAATGTACTTGAGCTATTACTCTCTTGAGATGGACATTACCATTATTCATAACAGATAAAATTGTATTAGCTTTTTTTCCCTACAGTAAATCACATTGTTGGCTCATACTGAGCTTGTAGTCAATGAAAACTCATGTTCTTTTAAAATCAGCTCCCTAGCTCCATTATAGGTTTAGAGCAGTTTTATTGAACCTAAACCAATATCTTATCCTTCTACAATTCATTTTTTAGGTCAGGGCATGTCTGCTATTTGTTGAGGTAATCTGGATTCTTAATTCTTTCGTGTTAGGAAACATAGTAGCTGTCTCTTCCAGTTTTGTTAATTCTGTAGGTTTAATCATGACTTCTGTTTCTACATTTGAGTTATTGGTAAAGGATAGAATAAGACAGGGTCAGAAATAACCTTTAAGCATGCTGCCAGTGACCCACCTCTAGACTGGTACTTGATACACTTGGGTACTATTGCTTAAGTACAAATGTAGCTCATTTAATCCCAACAAAACAACCCTACAAAGTAGGCAGTACTATCTTTTTGTTTTCCAGAGCGGGGAGAGGGATTGATTTAGTAACTTGCCAGGTTCACATAGCCAGCAAAAAGCAGAGTCAAGATTTGAATTCTGATCAGTCTTGGTACTGTTACCTAGTTCACCAACTTAGTTGCAAGGGCTTAATGAAGACTAGATTTACCCCATCATCTAGAACTTTTTGGACATAATAATGTTCAGAAACTATCGTCTACCTTTTGGAAATCTGAACAACTTTGGCCTATCTGATTGTCTATCATTTCTTCTGATAGCCTTTATTTTCTAGTAACTACTTAGTGATGTTTTGCAAACAGTTCACCTTGTTGCAATACTTTTTTAAAATTTATGTATATTTTGGAGTACATGAAAAAATTTTTACATGTGTATAATGTGTAGTGATCAAGTCAGGGTCCATGAGTACAATATATTAAGTATAGTCATCCTACTTAGCTATCGAACATTGAACTTATTCCTCTTACCTCACTGGATCTTTTTACCTTTTAACCCATTTCTCTTCAGCCTCCACCTCCCAGTCTCTGTCATC